TCTGGAAGGCTAGAAGTTGGGCCAGTTCCTTTGCTGTTCTGGCCGTCCTTCACCCCATCACTCTCCCTGCAGCATACTTACCTGGTGCTCACTGGGCTTGAGCAGGTGGCACTGCCTTTAGGACATTTTGTTCTCATCATTGCAGCCCCTTTGTGCTGGTTGTGAATGATCCCTCTGCACATGCATATCCAAGGAAAGCTGAACCGAAGCCTCAGCAAGCTGTGTTCTCCTCTGTCCCTGCATGAAAGGACAGGAACCACCTCATGGCTGTCTTTAGGTTTTACTTATTCCGAAAATGCTTAAATATTTCCTCCTCCCTTTCTGCCTCTTGGTCTGAGCAGTAGAAAGCATCCTCTGAAACCTCCCAGAAGGCTAGCTGACCTTCATCTTTTTGTCTAGATGCCCAATGTGGGGCAAGGGCAGTTGAGCAAAGACTGCAGGTCCTCCTGCCCCTGACAAAGCTGTCATCTCCATGGGCGGTTCTTGGGAGGTGCTGTGGCTGTGGTGGTCTTAGCAGTTGAGAGCCAGCCCTGGGTGCCCATCATTGGTCTGGGCCCTGAGGGGCTAGGGTGCTGCTTCCTGGCTCTGGGAGCAAGAAGGTCTTAGGCACCAGAACCCCCTAAGAGGCTCATTTTTCTGACTGTTTGCCTCTCCTCCTCAGCTCTCTTGGGTTGGGACTGTGTGGAGACGCAGTCACAAGCACACACAAACAAGAAGGACCTAGTAAGGCTCTATTACCACGCCAAAACACATGATTAATCATTTAAAAAGTCTGAGCTGAGCAAGTAAAGGTTTCAGATGCGAGCATGGGCCTAAGAATTGGAGCCTTCACCTGAGAAGGCCTCAGCTCATGTTTCTGGTGGCCATCCCTGTCCTGGCCCCTAAGGGGGCCTGGAGCCCCACTTGCCCATTGCCTGCCCAGAACCAGGTTTCTCAGTAGCCCATGTGAATGGCACCTTTGGGACTGTTCAGTATGGTAGTCCTAGATCCTGGGACCAAGGAGACTACACTGGGCACTGGTGGCTCTGGAGAAGACCCCAGGGCTTGGTGGGAAGGCAGTTGGTCACAGGAGACTACATCCCTCCCAGCATCTTCCATCTATCTCCTTTGCTTCCAGCATAAAAGCAAGAAGGTAGGTGGGGAGCCCCTGCTAGGAGTTGCTCAGCTCCTCCCAAAGCTGCTCTGCACCCGAAACCCAAGGCTTCCCTGGGCCTTTCTGACCTAGTCTGGGCCTCTGGGTCACACCTATATGCTCACAGACCTCTCTGCAAGTCCCCCACTCCCACTCTTGCACTTCTATCCACGTGGCAAAATTCTGGGTACGTGTACCTCTGTAGGCCCCACACTGGGCTGAGGCTACTGAGGGTTGATTCAAAAGACTGAGGGCAAGAGAGGCACACCAGTGAAGGGACCCCTGGACCTTAACTGTAGTCTCCTGTGAATAGAATCCCTTCAGTCCCTTCTTGCCTGGGGCCAGGGCACAGGCCCCTCCCACAGGCTGAATAGGGTGTGCCCAGAGACTAAATAGTGAATGGGACCACTAGCCTTTTGGCTGATTCCTATGGCCAACCCATAAGGCCCTGTGCCCATCAGAAGGAGCTGGAGCCCACAGCCTTTGTCCCCAGACTGGCCACAGGAGGGCACTTGATCTCCAAGAAGGAGCTTGATCTGAGCAGCCACTGCAGGCACCAGAACCTCTTCCCAGGCTGGCCATTGACTGCTTAACATACTCCCACCCACTAGCCATTTCTCTTTTGACCCCTCCCCTTTTTTTCTTTTAAAAAAAAAAAACCACCAAACTTTTATATTTTAAAATAATATTTGACTTACAGAAGAGTTGCAACGATAGTACAGTTTCTGTATACTGTATAACATCTTACATAACAACAGTACTACCCCCCTTTTTATGCTCTGCATGGCAGTAGAGAAGGAGGTTGCCAGCATGGCCCATCTGGCCCAACTGTGGAACACCTGGGTTGGAGCCGTCTCTGCCCCAGCTCCTGCTGGGTGGCTAGTACAGCCAACTAAGCTTAATGCACATGGGTTCCCTGGCTTCAAGTTCCTAGAGTGTCATGGCCTGGGACCCAGGCAGCATGGAGTGCATACTGTATGGCCAGCCAGGACAGTGCAGGATTTCTCAGGCAGATTCCCCCATTGGGGGATGGGAATGGTGGCAGAGCAGCAAGTGAGGAACAGTGAGGCCCCTGGGGTGGACTGGTATCCTGGAGCAGAGCTAGGCCACGCAGCGCTCAGTGCAGCAGGCACTCTCTGAAGATGCAGTCCCTGGGACCATGGGTAGGCATGGCATCTAGGAAGATGCAGTTGTAAAATATGCCATTTCCAGGCCCCACAGCAAGTACTATGAGGAACTGTGAGGCCTTCCTTAGAGCTTTCTCCTAGGCCAGTCACCCCCTGCTTTTGAGTGATTGAAAAGCAGGGAAAACACAGGTCACTCCTATCTCCAAACCCACCCTGCCCCCATCTTCCCAACAGCTTGAAGATGGAGGTTCAGTTCTCAGCTAATTAGAAGGGAAAAGTCATAAGGGCTTCGGAAGACTTGGTGCTCCAGGAAATAACTGATTCGGTCCCTAAGGTATGTGTAGGCCCTTACCACTCCTGGTGTGGCTGACGCAGCTTTCTGGTTTGAAGTTCTAACTCTGTCAGCATCGTCTGGGAGTAATGATGTTGAAGTACCTAGTCCCCCAGGTTTCAGAGTGTGCTATGTGAAATAAGCCCTGCCAAGGCCAAACTTGACTAATCTGGAGGAGAAAGGTGCCAGAGGAAGCAAGACTGGGACATTTTTGTTTCCCTGACTGAGCCGCTCAAGGTTCAGTCGTTCTGACAGAAGAGAAAGGCATAGCCGCCTTCTCGGCCCTGTCCCTGGGGACTGGGGAGAGGGGTGGGAGAAGGGGAAGCAGGAGATGGGTGTCCCGTTACCTGTCCCACAAGGTGGTTGTAAAGACTGAGCGGCACCATGTATTCAGAAGGCCTTCAGCACAGGGCCTGCCACTTGTGAACACCTCAGGAAAGGGTCGCCTGGGAGAGACTGTGGGACCTCTCACACAGCAACAGCTGGCCTTGGGCTGCGTCTCTGGCTGGAATCCCAGGGAAGGCCTGCGCATGAATCAAGCAGGCTATTTCTAGAGCTGGCAGGGGAGGGGCCCTTGTGTCCCCGTGGCAGGAGTGCCCATCCTGTGGCAGAATACAGAGAAGGGTTATTCAAGGGGGTCTGCAGCCCATTGTGTTCTGTGTGACCCCAAGGCTTGGAGTGCCCAGGCTTCAGTTGGGTGGGGGTGAGCTCTGGCTGAGTATGAGAGAGGACTGTGCTGTAGCCCTGTCACTCCTATGCTCTCCTGGTCCCTTTTCTATCCCAGTTGGGTCTGAGCAAAACTGGCTTGCCAGAGGTGTTAAGAGCCATGAAGGCCTGGGTTCAGTTCCTTCCTCTGCCTCTGCCTGGTCATGTGTGCTTGAACAAGAGACCTAACTTCTCTAAGCCTCAAGTTCCTCACCTGTGAAGTGGGAATGATGGTAATATCTCAAGGTTATTGTGAAGACTAAAAGAGGTGATGAAGCCTCAGAATAAATGGGTCATTCTCTTCCCTTTGACCACCCTTCTCAGACCTGGAACAACTTTGCCTGTATTTTTTTTTTTTTTGTCTTTTTCCATGTCCGGCAACGGATCGCAACCCTCAGTGTCGCCCCCGTACCAGACCGGGACCGGCAACGGGATCGCAACCCTCGGTGTTGCTCCCGCGCCTCGCTCAGCCAGTGAGCGGGAACCAGTCTGTATGTGGGATCCGAACCCTCGGCGGGAGCGCCACTGCATTCCCAAGCGGCGCACTATCGCAGTGCGCCACCGGGCCGGCCCTGCCTGTATTTTTGAGCAGGGCCAAATGAAAGTTATCTGGGACTAAACCAGCTCCATAAGAGAAGGAAAAGGAACATCTCTGTGGTGTGGAGGGTGATTGGTAACAGTGGGAGGTCTTGAAAAAGCTCCCTGTGTATCCATTGCATTCTAGCTGCATCACCAGACTTTGAGAGGAGCTGCCAAGAAAGGAAGTATAAAAAGAGATATAAAACACATAAATAGAACTAAAAAGAAAACTGCCAAAGGATTGGTTTAATTTATAAGATTCATGAGTTCATGAACTTTGAAAGTTTAAGATCCTTACTGCTTATGAGTTTGATGGTGATGGTGGTTTTCAGATTTTTTAAAAAGTGGCCTATCTGCCATTTAAAATACGTCCTCATGGGAAGAGAAGCTAATACTGGCCGCAAGTCACCTGATGAGTAAAGTGTGGTCAGGGTCCTTCCTGACCCCTGGATTTGTTTAGTACTTGGATCTCTTACCAGAGCACTTAGCCCTGACAGAGCTCAGATTTCCAGCTCCATTCTGAGGAAAAGCAAGAGCGCCAGGTTCAGGAGATGCCACCACACAGGCCCAAGCCAGCTGTCCCACTAGAGGTTTCCATCCCTGCCCTCCTTCATGCCTTGTGTCAAAGTGTAGAGGTCAGGAGCACATTCTGAAACTGTATATTGCCCAGGTATGAAAAACCTAGGTTCTCGGTTATCCTTTTAGGGCTTAAAACCCCTTTTTAGGTTTTAATTCCCATTCCTCTTACTCTTGGGTGATGATTTACCTATATCTGAAGAAATTCCCTCAGTTCCCCTATTGGGAAGAGGACATAATGGTACCTGGTTATAAACCAAGTAGGTTAGCCAAGTGGCTGCCTTGGTGTGGGGCCATTCTGTAAGTTCAGTAGTCCTTCTCCCTGCAAAGAGAGTATCAGTCTGGAGCAGCAGGAGGAGGAGAGAAAGTACTTCATGAGCTGAGCCACCCTTCCTCCATTCATCAGCAATAGCAGGAGCAAAAAGGTGGCATCCAGTCTGCTTAATAGTTGTTGCTAAGCCCTCTGCTTGGTCCTGGGAGGCTAACTTTGTAGGGCCTGAGGTTTGTACTAGTTCTTTCTTACCCTCTCTCCCCCGCCTTCTCCCTCCAGTGTATGTGGTGGAAGACCAAAGAAGAGATGACGTGGGCCCATCCACCTGCCTCACAGCCTGCTGGACTGCTCTCTGTTGCTGTTGTCTCTGGGACATGCTCACCTGACCAGACCAGCCCTCTTGTCCTGCCAGCTCTGCCGCCACCTCCAATAGGTGTGCCTGCCCCCATCTCTTCTGATTGCTGTAACAAATGACTAGTTCTGCACAGACACCTCTACCTTCAACACTATGGGATTCTAGATTAGCAGGGGGGGGGCTACTGTTTAATTCAGTGACTTGATCTTTTTAATGTTAAAATCCATTTCTTATTGATCTTTAAACAAATGTGCTAAATGACTTTCCTTTTTTTTTTTTTTTTGCCAAAGGCTTAGTTATGAAATCTATATTTATAATTTAAAAATTATATGTTCAAGGTAGTGGCAAAATGTAACACCACTGAGTGATTTCTCTGCTAACACCCTGTATGTTTCAATAAATTTGTCTAAACCTTAATTGTCTAAATTATTCCAGATATAACCTAAACTGCCCTGGGTCTATGCTTCTATGTCTCCTGGACTCTTACCATTTCTAACTACTCATCTGCTAAGGCTTGAAAAATGTGTCTATCTCAGCTAGTAGCCACTGTCCAGTATATGATGAGGAGCCTATTTACCCTTTTCATTCTGGCTACTACATGAACCGTGGGGATGCCTCTAAGGTAGGCAGGTTCCCAGGCCAGGTATCCTTCAGCCAGGTCATGGGGCTCTAGGGTGAGCTAGTGTTCTCTCCCTAGCCCCACTCAGAGATGGGCACAGCCAAGAGCATTCCCCAGCACAGCTTGCACTGGCCTTTTACCCAGAGCCTAGGAAAGGGGCCTCTTGGTTACTGTGGGCTACCCATGGCTTCGTCTGTAAGCCCACCGTCACATGGGGCCAGACCTGAGCCTTGCTTTTCCTACTATCCCCTACCACCCCTTCACTCTAAACTAGTCAGCTATGCCATTCATCTCATCCTTGGCCACAGGGTGGCGCTGAGCTGCCACAGCAGCAAGTCACATTTTAATTGTTCGGCATGCCTGCCCATCCCTGAGTTCAAGAAAAGCAGACTTAGCACAGTGGGACATATGCCTTTTATTGGTCTGACCAGCATGCCTAATAGAAGGCTCAGAGCTTCCCTATCTGTCATGGCTCCCATCTTCCTTCTCCTGGGAGTTCATAACTCACCCCACAAGAAAGGAGTGTCCTGGGCAGAGATGGCAGGAGAGCCAGGGTAAAAAACACAAGTGCTGGGATCTGAAAGGAGCTCAGGGTTATGCAGAAAATGCAGGGTTGCTAGGCCATCCAGATAAAACGTCCATCAGGGCAGAGGGGAGGCTGTTTCTCCACAAAAGCCCCTCTACTTTTGCCAGGAATGGGAGGGGTCAGGAAGAAGAGCTTGCCCTAGAGGCTCCCTACTGTGCCCTTCGTGCCATCAGCATCTCCCGGATGTTGTCCTCAGCTTCCTTAACGCTCCGCTCCAAGTAGGATTTTTTCTGCTGTAGTATCAGAAAGAAACAAGGGTTAGGACCAGGGTGAATGGGCCAAATTGGCAGACACCACTTCTCTACCCAGTGTTTATGGCTTCTCCTTTGATCGGTAACTTCCAGGAGCACACTGTCTATTGGGAGCCAAGTATGCACACCTGCCCACAGTGCTCCTCCCACCTCCATCCCATGGGTGGACCCATGGTCAAGTGGGGAGGAGACTGCTCAGTACAGGAAGGAGAAGTACTCTGTGGAAGAAAGGCAGTGGCACTCTTCCCCCCCAGAAGGAAGTATACTCTAAAAACAGGCAGCTCAGTACGTGAGGTTATACCAGACAGACAATGGCCAGGAAATTCCAGGACAAAGCTCCTGCTCCATAGCAGACTGTCTCCTCTCAAGGTTTTCCATGGCCTGGGCCAGGCGCCTGTAGCCACCACTGCTGCAGAATGGACAGTGTACACTTGCTCTGTCCAGCAAGACTGCAGGCTGCTGTGAGTGCTGTGCAATTGTACCACAGTCTCACCGAGGCAGATGAGTCAGGATGAAATCTGCTTTTCTAATGAAACTAATGCCCACCAGCAATCCAGGGCAGTGACACACTGGATAAAACAGACCTTTTGGAAGTTCATCTCCTATCCCATCTGGGTCCTAAATTAAAAATCTCAATTTAGACAAAGAACTTTACTTTCAGGAGCCACATATGGACCAGGACTGCAAAAGATTAGTCAAAGGAAATTATGTCTGTACATTATCTGCCCTGTGCTCACCCGAGAAGTATGGTGGCTTTACCACTGGTCCCTGCCCTGAGGACATAGTTGTGGCTGTACTCCCACTTAACAGACATGAAATGAAGGCTCCTTTTTGAGGATACTACTCATGTCCTGAGGGAATGCTCAAAATTATGGCCTCCCAGGGTTCAAGTGACTGTCTGAGCCACATGGAGCCAGTAATGTAGAGCCTGGCCCAGGCAGCCCAGGTGCAGCCAGTGCCCTCCTATCACCCCTGCTCCCTCCTCCCAAGCAGCTGTAGATTCAGCTTGACCATTAAAGTGCTCACAGGACCCAGGGACACCAGGGAAAGGTTGGGATGGAGGGCAAGTGAACTACACATCACTGCGTCACATGGCACCACAGCCTGGTCTGACTGCCCTCACTTGGGAGCTGATCCCCAGCTGCTGATACGGGAAAAACGAAACAAATGTCCCTATTCCTCGAGGCCTTCAGCATCAAACCCCACTGGTGCCCCCCTACAGACCCCTGCCTCTTAACATCTCTATATCTCCATTCTCTGTCCAGATATATGATATATTTATAGCCTTTTTCCTAAAGAAGCCAAATGCTGTGAGTTCTTGTGTGAACCTCTCATCCTGTTTGTCCTCTCTGAACTTTAAATTTCCTTAAGGCTAGAACAAACCCTTTCTTTACTCATCTCCCATCTGTCCAACTTGCACACAATTCCTTACAGCACAACAGGAGCTCCATAAAAAGTCTCAGTGACCATAACAATTCAATAGCCACAAATGTGTATGTTGCTAAGGAATTCTGTTTGACTACACTGTTAAACCTGATATAGTCCTATCACTGTGATAGACTGGGAACTTAAACTTCCTTTGATAAACAACTCTTAGACTTTACTTGTGGTGAGTTAGAAAGAGGCATATACAAATAACTCCTGACACACCACCAAAGAATGTATATGTAGTGGGTGTTGCACAGGGGAGCAGCAGCAAGGTAGTACCACACACCATCCGGGCAGCCCCGCAGGAATCTAAGGGAAAGGCAAGTGGAGCCAGCAAGGTTCTCTCCCGCAATGGCCAGCTCAGGGACCCAGGTCTGCTGCATTTGATCTCTGCCAACTTGCTGGCACAGCTGGCAAACTATAAACTTGGAACACCAGTAAGATCTTTTCTGCCATACTGCCAAAGCCTCTGACGAAATTTAGGTTGTAATTCCCAGCTTTAAGAATTCTTTATTCTATACCATCTCTTCCCTTCCACTTTCACCAGTAAGATCTTTTCTGCCATACTGCCAAAGCCTCTGACGAAATTCAGGTTGTAATTCCCAGCTTTAAGAATTCTTTATTCTATACCATCTCTTCCCTTCCACTTTCATGAATTTTGCCACTGTATATCCTAAAAGTCTTCAAGTTTCAAAAAAATAATACAAATGATTTAATCCATCTTTAAATATCTGGTTTAAACGTAATGGGCATTTCTAAAAAAAATAATTCCAAAAGATGGAGCATCCCTAGCACAGCAGGATCTGTTTTCTTACTGTACTTCAACAGTACCTGTCTCATCCCCAAGCACATCTAAGCCCAGAAGACCCTCGTGATCAAATCCAGACCAAGGCACCTGTTGTGGGTTGAACTGTACCTCACAAAAAGATATGTGGAAGTTCTAATCCCTAGTACCTATGATTGTGACCTCATTTGGAAATAGGGTCTTTGCAGATGTAACCAAGTTAAGATGAGGTCATACTGAATTAGGGTGGACCCTAAATCCAATGATTATTTACAGGAAGGCCATGTGAAGACACAGGGACATACACAGAGGAGGAACCCCATGTGCTGATGGAGGCAAAAACTGGAGTGATGTGCATACATGACAAGCAATGCCAAGGACTGTCAGCAACCACCAGAAGCTGGAAAAGGCATGGAAGGATTGTTCCCTAGACCCTTCAGAGGGAGCATCACCCCGTAACACCTTGATTTTGGACTTCCAGACTCCAGAACTGTGAGATAATAAATTTCTGTTGTTTGAAACCACCAGTTGTATGTGGTAATTTGTTATGGAGCCAGGAAGCCAACAGAGCACCTGAAATGAGAGATTCCCCCAGAGACAGAGTCTATCCCAAGGCTCTTCTGGACCCAAAGGACCCTATCCTGCCGTAGCTCTGACCACACTGAATTGCAGAGGCCCGGGTAAGCGTCCCTAGAAGTTTATATGCTGGGATCATATTTATCCCCAAAATAACTGTGGTAGAATTGACCCCAATCCAAGTGGGCCTGTCAGAGAAGATGAAGAAAATTAAGGAACTGATGATTAAGTCAAACTTTTTCTTCCTTGAGTCTCCGTAAGTTATTCCCAAATCTATTAGTCAAGCCAGAAATTCTGTGGGCCCCAGTCTTCTCTACTTCTGTAAATGACAACTCCATTCTTGCAACTGCTCAAGACAAAAACTTTTCATTGTCTTTGAGTTTTCTTTTTAAAAAGAAAACTCAAACCAAGCAACAAAATCTGTTAGCACCATCTCAAAAAGTAATCAGAATGACTTTAAAGAACAGCCTCCAGAAAGGTCTCCTTTCTTTTGTTCTTGAACTCCTTCAGTTTCTTCTCCATACAGTGGCCAGAGTCATCTTTCAACACTCAAAACCCTCTAATGGTTTTCCATCTTCTCAGAGTAAAAGGCAAGCCTTTTTGTCTTTGTCTAGGCTGCTATGATAAAATACCATAGGCTGGGTGGCTTATAAACAACAGAATTTGTTTTTCATAGTTCTGAGGCTGGGAAGTCCAAGATCAAGGTAAACAGTGTCTGGTGAGGACTCCCTTTTTGGTTCATGGATAGTGCCTTCTCACTGTGTCCTCACATGGTGGAA